TTTATCTTTGAAAGTCTAATAAAGAAGACAATTTTCGAAAATTCTTTTTTAAACCTATGTGACGATTTTCATAGGTAGGTTTATTGTATACATATATACCGAACTATCTTCAATAAAAATCTGTTGTATCATGAGACACGGTCGTGTCTCGACGCTAAAGAAGTGTGCGTCAGATACATATATACCGAACTATCTTCAATAAAAATCTGGTATAGATGTTTATTAATTTCGAAGTTAGCATTCAAACGAGGTACTACAAAAAAAGAAATTTTTATTTGTAAGTAATTGAAAGAGCATATGAATCTCGGAAAAGGAGAGAAAGTAAAAAATAACAATTTAAAGTTTAAAAGTTGATTTTTTTTTGGATAAAGATCAAATTTTCCTAAAGCAAAAAGTATATTAAGTTTTGGAATTTAGGAAATCTGAGGTTCATACTCTCCTTCTCAATTATTCATAAATGAAAATTACTTGTGATTTTTTTTAAATATAATTTATATCATTAGAAGCTGAGATATGTATACACGTTTTTTGTAGTGCCTCGAATGCTAATAACTATGAAATTAGTGAACATATATTAAATTTTTATTGACAATAGTTCAATACGTGCAATAAACCTAGAAAAAGCCTTTAAAAATTTGTTGCATAAATTTTTGAAAAAATTAATTTAAAAAAATGTCCGAGAACAGCGCTTTATTAGACTTTCAACAGTAAAAGATCCCTTAAGACTCGGAGCCTTAATATATGTACATTAGTCATCTAATTTTTAGAAGTAATATCCTTTCAGTGTATACAAAAGTCCATCTGGCAATATAAATAAAAAGAAAACCTTTATTTGCAATATCCATTCGCAATAACATTGATACAAATTTGACACGCACATACACAAATATATTTCATAGATTAACATGAATAAAAATTAATAATAATAATAATCGTTTTCCACAACCGAAACGATTATCGCTTTCCTCTTTTTAATTTCGTGTAATAATAAATGTTTTATTTTGCCCCTCTATTAGGTACAACGTACTATAATATTCGCTTTCGCGGATTTTCAGCAATACACGGTATTGCGATTCCGAGAAAATAGAAGGGAGGTCTGCCATTATACATTATGTATACACATGTCACACGTATACATATACATACGTGTATGTATATATTTTTATATATATTAAAATCTTATATAACATTTGTGTTAAATAAACATGGGGAGATAAAAGGGACAAGAAGATCTTCGAAAAAGCTATAAAAACCTTTATAACAGTATAAATCTTTTATACTCTCTCTATTAATGAACTATAAATATCTATATTTAAATTCACTTCTTGTGTGACTTTTTCATACACACACGCACATAATCTTTATAATTTGATAAAATAGTTTTTAAAATTATTAATTACAGATTAATTAAATATAACTTAAAATTACTATTCGAGCCATCGCGGTTGAAAATGTGATATAAAAATATGTTACACGTATTATGAGCAATACATTTAACAACTATTAATTACTACAAACGTTTCAATCTTATTTTTGGATTTTCTTCAGTGTATAAAATGCCGTAATATATAGAAGATTGGTTATGTAATAAATGGCTACATTCTCATTATTTTCATCGTACCATATGTATAGATAAATTTTTTCTGTCTTTAATGAATATTAACATAGTAGAATATGAGTAAATTATATGAAAATTATAAATTAAATAATTAAATGTAAAAATTTGCGAATGTATATGTAAATTTACTTACAAAAAAAGAGATATGCCAAGCCAAACGTTTTCTACTATGCTAATATCCATTTAGACAGAACTTATCTATACGCGTCGACGATGAAAATAATGAGAGAATAGTTATTTATTACATGACCAATCTTCTATTGTTACGACATTTTATACACTGAAGAGGATCCAAAAGTAGGATCGTTTGTAATAATTATATAATTATTTAATATATTGTTCATAACACGTGTTTATTTTTACATCATATTTTCCGTGACAGCTCTCTAATGACAATTTTAAGTTATATTTGATTTTATCTCGGAGTCATTTAACTCGTTTTAATTATAGATTAATCATTCATTTTTTTCTTCAATTATTAAAAATGCCGTGATATTTCCTAATAAAATAAACATATCTGGCATGAAAAATTAATCCTCAGCTCATTGAGCCATTAACAATATTCTATTTTTTATTCTGCGATATTTCTCAAATAAAGAATAGAATTTCAAATAAATTCTAAAAATAAAATAATAAAAGTTCTTAACATACTCCGACTGAATTGAATTAAAATAAATCTTTTTCTCATAAGTTTTACAGCTGCAATATAATTGAGAGTTCGCAGTGAATTAAAATACTGTATGATATTCTCTAATATGAGGTGGAAAAACAGCGATATAAAAGTTAGTTAAATATTATTAATTCTCGTACAATTTGCACGATATATTCGTCCTGTTTCAGGTCACCAAAATACTTCGTGCGTTATACACATATAGGATATCCAATTGTAACACTAATTTACAGCAAAAAGTTATTTTGAATCAGAGATATTTCTCGTAGATTTTTGAATGCTGAAGACAATGCCACAAGCCAAAAATTCCAGTACATTAAATTCCAAGATAATTGAGATTTAATGTTCAAAGAATAGCTTTCTTTCACGATATTTAACATTTTTTTTGTAAAGAAGGTTAACGTTATCTTGAAATTCTGATCAGAAGTCATTAATGTATTGTTCATCTCCTATAAAATGCATTTTTTTTTATTTCAATAAGTTATTTTATAACCATGTTATGAAGGATTTAAGTACAGGATTTTTCTAAGATAACAAATTTTTTGTCTGATGATGAAGTTACATGTGTTTATAATTCCTAGTGCTTTGTGCTTATCGATACCCATACATAATGTAATTTCTCATGACAGATTCCGCTAAATGTATATACATAGGGTGTCTTATTTTAATCCATCTCTAATATCTTAAAGAAAACGTATTTTAAAAAAATATGTTTCTGACTGTAGTTGTCTGAAAAAAATGATCTAGAGAGAAACAAATAATGGCAAAGTAGCCGCCGATCGCGCATGCATATGTGATGCTGCCTCAGATATAGTCTCCATATTAGAACTATAGCTCCTAGCTTCAAGCTTTCATAACATGACTAAAAAATAAGATTGAAATAAAAAAAAATGCATTTTATAAGGAATGATTAATACACTTATAGTTTCTAATTGAAATTTCAAGATACCGTTAATCTTCTTTACAAAAAAATGTTAAATATCGCTAAAAAAGCCATTTTTTGGATATTAAACCGTTATATATCATCTTAGAAACCTGACGTACTGGAGAAATTTAGCTTGCGGTATCGTTTTCACCTAAAAATCTATGAGAAACACGTAATCGCAGTAAAAAATTTCAAAGTAATAAAAAAAACTTTTTTGTAAATTGTGTAACCAACAAGAATCAAATTTTTTCGATATTGTAAAAAGAAAAGTTTTGGATTTTATTTGATTTGGAAAAAATTCGATTCTATTGACTGTATAAATTGGACCCTCTATTTATCATGTACTATTATATATTAATATGAACTATAATTGGGCGATATCATATACAGTATATATATATATATATATATATATAGATCTTTCATAATTCACAGCCGCTAATATAAACGACCGATTTTCGCAGCACCGTCTTGCGTTAAAAATTACACCTCTTTCATCCTGTCATACATCTATATTTATTTTCTCTTTCTCTTTCTTGTGTGACAGACAGATATAAATACAACACGTTAAGGGCCCTTCCTAGTCATCGCGGTCATATTGGACTGATCGTGACGTCAGAAGCGAGAAACAGCGGGAAATGACACGTAAAAATTTGTTGCGTGCCATTTTTAAATAAAGAGGATTTGAATAAAATTAATAAATAGGATCGCTTTAGAAAACTTGTAAAAATGGATGGAAACTATCCCTTTTCCCCCTGAAAGTTAATAAATAGTAAAAGGCATGTAAAGTGAAGATTATTCAAGCAAGAAAACTCACGATTTGACAGCTGTTAAAAGGAACGGAAAAGATACTTTAACGTATAAAATTCGACAATAACTATAGTTTCCATCCATTTTTACGACTTTGATAAATACAAAACAAGCCACATTTTCACAATTAAGCACATAATAACGAAATGGCACGCAACACAAAATTCGTTGTCAAAACTTTTCACAATATAGGTCCGTTATTTTCTTCAATTGTCGAGTATTCTCTTCATATTCGATTATGATTGATCAATTTTACACTGCTTACGATATCGGAATACAATTATTCTGCAGAATTATCACGGTTTATGACTTAAAACACCGATATATAACGTATTATAGGACAGGCCTAATATACGACAAGAAGCTTCTAATTTCTACCGCGATATAGCGTCGCCACTGTCAACGCGGAGTTCGTGGCTGACTAGGAAGGACCCTTAAATAATTTCATAAAAATTATTGTTAATTATAATTATTACAATAAATATATAATTCTTTAAATCGTTACTTTACAATAAATTACATAAAATTTAGTTGGAATGTAGTAGATCGGTGAAAAAGCAAGACGATTTCGCGAGTGCGGTCGAAGAGACAGAAGTTGATCGGCTCAATGTGAGACGATAATCATTAACGCAAGTTTATTACAATTAAAAACGAACAAATTAAAATACGGATCTTCTCACCGTTTACTTCCCGAATAATATAACAATTCGTATTGTAATGCCCTAAATTCGTGCTTATCATGCACGATCGTTCCTTTCTCATTAATTATTTTCAAACAAAACGTACGAAAATCTAAGAAGATTTTGAAAAATTAGTTTCTTAGATTTTGGTGCTGAGTTGAGCTTTTATCTCTCGCTTTCTCCGTCCAACAAATACTAGCTTATCTTGGCTAGTAGGACGAAAATGCATTAGAATTTTGAAGTTCTAGAAGAAACTTCAGAGAAGAGAAAGAGACAGAAAAAGAGATAAAGAAAAAGAGAGAGAAAGGCATAAAGATTTAAAAAATATAAATATTTTCTATAACAATTCGATCAATATTTTCAATGCAGCTAATACAGTAATCGTTATACTTACATTCTGCATTAAAGTTTTTATGCAATAATACAAGGTACCCATAAGAATAATAGAAATTAATCGTTACACATATAGGTAGTTTTCAAATGCTCCAACTCGTGAACATTCTACGTAAAATTCATCATTGCATCAATTCTGATTCTTAGGGAACATTGCCAGAATAGCAGCGCAAATCTGCTGGGGATCGGTCTCGTGGGGATGAAGCGCCATGACAGCTTGCACTTGCTCCTCGGGGAAGATGTTGGCAAGATGGTAGTGCAAGCGACGTCGAACGTCTTGGGTCTGCGTGCCCCAGGGCACTTGTAAGCTCGTAGACGGCGGCGATGGTAATAGATTCAGTTGGGGGTCTGAAGTGCCTAGCCTCTGCACCCGTGATGGCGGTACCAGAGCGGTACCGCGCGTCGGCCACGCTCTGTAAGAATCCGGGGCAGAGGCAATACGCATCACGTGCTGGTGATGATGCTGAAGACAGTCAGGATGATCCCAGCTGAAAAAAGATTTGAAAATGCTCAAATTGAGATCATTTAAATCCAGGATTGGGTAGTGCCTAGTTAAAAAGATAAAAAGTTAAATAATTTTAACTTGATTTAGTTACATTTTAGACTCTTAACTTTTAATTTAATTTAGTTACATTTTATCAGTAACTATTAACTTTTGATCTAACTTTCTTGAAGTTACATTTTTTAATGCTTCTTGTAAACCCAAAGTAAAATACATATCTGTGTTGGTATCTCCAAACTCAAATTTGAGAACGCACATCAAGGCAATTGTTATACTATAATAAATAGTCTGGCCGCGGGAAGAAATCACTGTTCGCGGACCTTCTATGCATTTATTAAATCACGTTAGAAAAAGTCCTTCAAAATCGGTCTTTTTTTCGCGGCTCGACAGAAATAAGTATAACAAATATAAACTTTATTTAGAAACCCTAAAATTATAAAATGAAAAAATTTAACTTTTAACTTTTTAATTATTTTTTTATCAACTTAACTTTTAATTAAATTAATTTTATTATAGACTAACTAATTGTATCTTAACTAAGTTAAATTTTTAAGACTGTTAACTTTAACTTAACTTAATTAAAAAATATTAACTTATCACACCCAGTTTAAATCTATTTACTTATCTCATTACAGATTAATAAGAATCAAATCAAGAATTAAATAGTTAATAATTTCAATATCTTAAAATTATATAATAAAACACATTTTGTGCAATACATCGTGCAAGATCTACGATCTTACATACAATCCACACATTAATTATAACAATTAATTGATAAAACACACGCTTTAGATATCAAATATATTCAGACAGAAACTCACCTCATAGCAGTAACTGGATACGATGATTCGTTACTGGCGAGTCTCGTTAACGGTCGGTGTTGCATACTGGAGTGCGGTGGATTGATAACCGATTGCTGTTGTTGCTGTTGCGGTGACTGGCCAGTTTGCTGCTGTTGCTGCTGCTGATGATAACGTCTGAGTTGATAAAGCCGCGGATCGCACGCTGGATTTAGGGTCAGCTGCCGCTGTAACTTCCGATGCATGTTCACCGGTTCTGACTCAGAATTGTTCACTCTTGGCGTGGCCCAATTCACTGCGGACGGGTAACCTTTAACAAAAACATAAAATTATTAAATCATTTGATCATTTGACAATTAAAAGAAAAAAATAAGAAAAAAATTATGTACCAGAAAAATAATACATTTCTTTTTCATTATATAATGTTCATCAAATAATGTTATGTTCGTCCTTTTTAATTATCACCTTGAGGATTTTGTGCAGGAGGCATCTGCTGGCTATACATGGCGGGACTAGTTGCGGACAAATCAGACGTGACGTTTTCCACCGATCTACTCTTCAGGACGGACGACAAGGGTTGAACGACGCTCGGTGGTACGGCTGACCTGGTTTTGCAGAGCGGCGGATGCTGTGGAGACACGGATGCATTTGTAGACGGCAGCGGGAGGCTCAGACTGGGACCACGGGCCTGTAAGTGACGCTGAGCGTGCTCCACCAATCGCTCGGTCACAGATTTATGCGGATGTGGTCCTCTCTCGGGATGCCGGAACTTGCACTTGTTGCCGTATGTACATTTCTAGGAATATAAGAGACAGTCATTTAATTTAATTTAATTCTAAAAGCATGTATCTGATTCGAAATTAGTTTATTTCAATTTGATAAAAAACACCCCCTCATCAGTGTTTCAATCTAGAATCTGAAATTCAGTCTTTCAATTTTAACAAAAAATCCTTTTAGCTTTTGAAACTTGTAGATAATATTTATATCAGAATAATATAATATCAGGAATAAGCAGAAGGAAGGAAAAAGGGGATGTTACCTTGGCATAAGGGCACGGAGGAGCAGGATCAACTTTTTTAGGAGCGATTCTGAGAAAATTCTCCAGAGTAGGACCACTCCTGCCAAGCGGGTCGTCTGGTGGCATGAATCGATCATTTACAAAGCTGTACATCAGAATTCTCTCTTCTACAACCCTCTTGAACTCAGGATTTTCTTGTGCTAAGTCTCGATAGTTGTCGTTGCTGACGACAATGCCATCAACTTCCGCGGCCAGTTTTAAAATGTACCGATCGTCGTAACATACCATACGTTTCCCACCTACCAACCTGCAAACATTTTTCTTGTTAAAAAAATAAGAAATGATTTTGTATTATGTATTATATCAATGTATTTTGAATTATACATATAATATAAACTACATATCATAATAGTATGAAATATACATATATATATATATATATATATATATATATAAAATATTATAATTGTATTGTACAAAATGACATGAGATACAAAAATCTCAATATTACAAGAAATCGACCAGTCTTATCGATTGCTTTCAAATCAATTGTCTATTTGTACATTCAGATAAATCTAGAAATCATAATAACGAATTGTATTTATTTGCAAATCCCGAAATGACAACTTACGACTCACGACCTACGGAGCCGAGTGAATCAATTTTGTTTCTGGAAACAGCGAATACCGAGAAGAGCAAAAAAGAAAAAGGAATTGAGGAGGAGAATGGGAGATCCTTGAAAAGATTTAAGTCCACGCGGATAGATTGTGCACGGACAGATAGAACGTGGGTCCGGTTATTCCAGCTCCGGATAATATTAACCGATAGCAAAGTAAGTCCAAAAGCTGGAATGAGAGATATTTTCGATCCATCCTCAATGATCTCGGTTTTAAATTCTCGTTTCTTATCGCCGAGACTCGCAGCTCGTTGTTTACAGTTCAGACGTATTTTTATTTGCGTGACTTGTGCAAATTATATATTTAGACAAAAAAAAATACAATTTATTCATTTCTTTTTACTTCTCCCATATCTTCAAACTTGATTTTCATATTAATTATAGTTAATCACTTATTCGAACTGAATTAATATTTGATTGTTTGATTCAGAGATCTAATACATTTGAAGAGTAACTTTAAAACAAAAGGTATAAAAGGGAGAGAAATATTTCTGTGTAAGGTCGAGATACTCAAATTTTCCTAAATATCGAACGAATCGCATGCGTTGCACCAACCTGGAAGGTGTAAATACAAGTAGACGATCCTTCTCGAGCTCGCCCAGGATCTCTTGGTCGGCTACTGGATTGTCAGGTCTCGAGGCTTCTTTTCGCCACTTAGGTACAAAGACAGTGATCTCCTTGTGGCCCCTGGCGCGGAACCAATCAACGCAGATCTTGATACCGCGACAGGAGAATATCTCTTTATTGCCGTGACTCATGGCGACGTTGCTACCGTCTATGACAACGGGCCTCAGATCCATCGACGAGATCGCATTCGTCGCCAATGCGTTCGTCGCCGTCAAAATCGACCCTCCACCTTCATCAGTGCCTGCCTCAGCGTCCAGCAGACCGTCTGCTTCCTCAGGACCGTCGGTAAACTTCGAAGAACAAGTAGCTCCGAGTTTGATCAATTCGGCTAATAGTTCATTCTGACCTGGGTCCGGACCCAACTTCTGCAACGCCGCTTGCACCAATTTCTCGGTGTAACCCAGCTTAAGAGCGAACTCCACGCGGGCGGTGTAACCTGAACAGAATAGATTTTGTTGATATTAATATAGAATTTAATAAAATCTTTTTTTTTCCTGTCCTTGGTTTTTTTGTAGGGATATGAGGATGTAGGATATGAAAACCCTTACAGAAATTCGTAACGACTTGCATTTTTTTTTTAAATTGAAGAAGAAAATTCGAGTTTTTGACTTTTATGATGCTGCAAACGGCATTCCCGAGAAAAATTTCATCAAGACCGTTAAACATTGCAATTTTCAATATGGCAAACATGCTCTCAGATTTAAGAGTTTACAATAGTAGGGATGCATTAAACTTAAAATCGATACAGAGTATCTTAAAGTATCTTTTAAAATGATAAAATCATCTAATCTTTGATTCAGCACAGTGCTGCACTAAGTTCAACGATTTAAAACTTCAACATAAAAATTTTGCTACTGTACGGAAACTTTTCTGGAGTAGTGTATATGTACAGGGTGTCATTTATCTTGACACATCCAAATATTTCAAAAAATACGCAAGATACGAAAAAATATTTCAGACAAAAGCTATAGGATATGAAGTTGGAAGACAAATAATAACAAAATCAATTTCACAAAAAAATTGATTTTTGAAGGTCATGAAGGTCTCTCCCCTTTTTTAAATTCAATGGTATGATTTTTTTTTAATAATATGATTCCTCTAATTATTCTGCATATAAAAGTATTAAGGTAAAGTTATCGAAAAATCAATACTTTATAAGATATTTAATACTTATCATGCCATATTTTGACATGAAATATGAAATATCTTGTAAACTATTGATTTCTTGATAATTGTACCTTAATACTTTTATGCACAGAATAATAAGACAAATTAATTGGTATAAAGAAAACACACAGTTACTTTGCAAAAAAATATGTGATTTTTAAATATTTTTTTTATTAAATATTGATTTATTGATTAAAAGAAATTTGAACAATTGCTTAAAGAATTATAAAAAAAATGTATAAGTAGGAGTGTAATGTATTGCCAAAATTTCATAACTTTTTAAATTTCTAATTTGAAGATCTTTCCTTATCAGTCATAGCGACAGCAAGGAGATTTGAGGAGACTTACCCGGACTCTGCGTAGGTGACGGTCCCTGGATAGTAACATACTCCGCGAACTCGGCCGCCAGGGTGTCCGACGTAGTGCGAGATACGTCCGGATGCGCTGGGGACATCTGTGACTCCGATCGTGGACGCCGCGCCGCTGTCGTCATCGTCGTCGTCGTCATCGTTGCCGTTGTCGTCGTCGAGTCCTCGGCCTCGTAATCGCTGTCATATGAAGAGTCCTCGGCGTCCGGCATGCTGCCCGTGCCTAGTACTGTGCAGTCCACATATCTCTGCAACATGACGAAATGATTTATAATACAAGATATTAGTCTATGTAATAAAGATATAAATAGAAGCACATTCAAGAAAAATATCAACAATCATCAAATAAAAAATGTTAAAAATCGACCGTTTTTTTCCATTTTTGAAAACGAATTTATACAGAAAAAATATGTATTAACAACATTAGCTAACAGCAGTCTAATTAAAAATAATTTTGTTAATTCAATAACAATATTAATAAAATAACATTTTATTAAAATATGGACAGGCGTAATTATAAGTAATTATTTTATTAAAGGTTAATTTGTATGTTTAAATTGGAGACGTTTGTGAATTTATTTTAGGAAAAAGAATAGAATAGAATAGAATATTTATTCACTTTAGTAATTTTACAGCCAAAAAGGAGACTTGGTTTACATTTAATGCCTTATCACTCATTCATCCATACCCTAACCAATCTCTCTATCTTATCCTATACGCTTAAAACTAATTGACTATCACAGACTTCTTAAAATTACTGCGCGGCGTTTCGAGCTCACAGCCTTCTTGTTCTCATTGCCTTATTTTTGACTACTACTACCATTCTTTTACATTTTCTTTTCCTATTCTTTACCTATTCTTTACATTCCTTATATTCGTCTTGACATTCTTATACTTGCTTTACAATCTCTTCCCTATCCAGCCTTATACATTCCTATTCTTAACCTATTACCTCGTCCTTCTCTTCCTCATCTCTCCCTTTCTCTCTTATTCTTATCTGTTTCTCTCTTTCTTTCCATAATTTCTTTAATATCCTTCCTTTTGCTTCATTTAAAATTTCCGATCTTATCCTATTTAATATTTCTTCTTCATCTTTCCCCAGCTCTACAAACCATTCTTTTTTTTCTTGGCATTCCCTTACATAATGATCTATACTATCTCTGCTTTGCTTACAAAATAAACATCTCCGTCCAGTACTTATTTTCCAATTCTAGATTCCCAAATCTTAGTTTTACCAAAGCCCTCACTTCATCCCCCCTTCGTATTCCCATCCTTATTAAATTTTCTAGGAAAAGGAATAAAGGAAGACAGTTCTTCATTTAGATATTATTTATAACTATACATAAGATATAGAAAATTAATTTGTTAATACAAATTTTATTAAAAATATGTGTTTTTAAAGGACATTTCTTGAAGCAATACAGTATTTATACCTATTATCGATTATACAGGGTGAGGAAAAAGTATGGAAACCCTGAAAAACCTTAAAAAATATAAGTTTTACAAAAAAATGTTTCAAACAAAAGTTGTAGGGTTTAAAAAAGTCTATTTATTGATCTTATCAGTTTGTCCTTATAGGTAGCGTCGCCAAGATCAGGCCAAGATCACATCTATTTTTTTTAACACTCCATTTTTTATTGAATATTCTTATAGCACACCTCGAGAGCTTTCCAAAACATATAGATAAAATATTTTTTTGTTAAGTAAATCTCGAGTTATAAAGCTTGAAAGTTACAGTGCCATCGGCATTAGCATTATCTAAAATGTCCGAACAATATATGGCTGAAATCTTTTGAATATTGTTCAGGATCATGAGCTTGACAACATGTGTCAAGGTCATGAGTATTAAAGGATGTTGTTAAGCTCATAATCCTGAACAACATTCAAAAGATTTCAGCCATTGTTCGGACATTTTGGATAATGCTAATGCCGGTGGTAATATGTAACTTTCAAGCTTTATAACTCAAGATTTACTTAACCAAAAAACATTTTATCTATATGTGTTTTGGAAAGCTCTCGAAATAAGCTACAAGAATATGCACTAAAAAATAGAGGATTTCATTAAAAAAATTTAAAGTTTTAAAATTTAAATTTAACCTTATCCTGACCTTGACAACGCCACTAAAATGGGACACCCTGTATAAATATATATATATATCAGGTTTATTAATTAAAATTCTGGTGAAAAAAATCTCATATTCTTAAGAATTTTTTATATTTTAATTTTATGAAAATTTCTAATGAAATCTCTTGAATTCCTTCAAAGGAGTACAAAAAAAGTATGAAAAAAGCTAAACATAAAATTTTGCTCTGAAACTTTCAACGAATATTCTACTGGTATCTAAGAACGTAACAATAAAAGAATTTTGCGGAGAAATGGCCAGAAGAGCTAATATGGCGGATTGGTCTATAGTGTCTATACCGTTCCCACTGGATTTATGTCTGTATTACTTTGCATCAGTAATTATTATGCGTGTGCGTGCGTGCGTGCGTGCGTGCGTGCGTGCGTGCGTGCGTGCGTGCGTGCGTGCGTGCGTGTGTGTGTGTGTGAAAGCATTAATTGAAAGACACGACAAAAATAGACTAATAAATGAAGAGAAATATGAACTACAAGGAAGACTGTTCTGTGAATGTTGTGCACACGGTTCTGTGTATAGAGGCTGTATAGGGAAAAGTGGGGAGATCGTTGCGCGACTTTTCAAACGTTCTGTGATCGAAGATTCGACTTGCGCGAAATGGTCGAGTTTTTTTTGTCCTGAGTCTTTCTTTAGGCTTATATTTTGCTTCGTTTATCTGTTTATTTTTGTTGTGTCTTTCAATTGATTATCTGACCTTCTTTCAGTTCCATATTTGCTTCACATAAGTAAAGTTGCTTCATTTTGAATCGAATTTTATCTCATAATTTGGAGTGACTTTCTTGGTTTCTGATCAGTCCTTACTTTTTGTCACTTTTATCTTGAGTCAGGAGTCTCGGTGTATTATTGAATTTTGTTCTTTGCCACGATGTTAAAACTCTCATATGCAACAAATCAATATCGCAAGCCTCTGACTACAGAACGTTTAAAAAGTCGCACAACAATCTCCCCACTTTTCTCTGTACACAGACCGTGTATACAACAGACCAATCATTCATTTCATAAAACTATCTTCCTTTTGGTCCATATTTCTCTTCATCTATTATATTAGCCTATTTTTGTCATGCCTTTTCATACAATATACATACATAACATTAATGATGCAGACACAAATCCAGGGAGAGCGGCACAGACCATTCCGCTATATGGGTATTTCTGGTCATTTCTCCGCAAAATCTTAGTTTACTGTTACGTTCTTTAGACACTAGTAGAATTTGTTGAGTTTCACAGTAAAATTTTATGCTTTTAACTTTTTCCCTACTTTTTGCGTACTCCTTTATAACTTTTTCAGAAATATCAAAATAAAGTTTTGTTGTTTCATAAATTGTACATATAGAATAAAAAGTCTTGGAATATTTCAGAATTCAATGATATACCTACATATATGTATAAATAAGTATTTTGTATAAAAAATGTAGACCTTCTCAACATTTCTAAACTGTTTTAATTTGTATAAAAAATCTGAAAAATTTTGTAAAAAGTTATAAAATTATACAAAAATTCTAAAAAATTGTATAAAGAATTATAAAAAAAATTTTAAAATCCAATTTTTAAAGTTAGGGATTATATGACATGGTCAATGTAGATAAAATAGCTTAATTCGGATAAATTACAGTATTACATTTTACAGTATTAATAAACTCCGCAATAAAATTCATTAAAATTCAGAAGGATCTTCTTCCAAGTTCTCCCATGAGTAATCATTTATAAGATATTGCGTCGTGGCTATGATGCATCATAAGTCAAACAAACCGGAAGACAAAAGAATACTAGGATTCTTGGTTGAACATTACAGATTTCTATAGAAATCTATGCGTTTCCATATTTTATTTAATCCTATAGATACATACTGAGGTTCCCGGGATCCCAGCGAAATTTTCTCGGTTTGCAATTTCTGAAATTGGAAAGGGAGGGATTTGGGATATTGACGTAAAAAGAGTTTGGGATCTCTTCTCAGTAAGAAGATGTGTTGACGCGCGGCAATTGTCGCTCAACAACCGTACAGTGAACAGTTGAAATAAGCGTGGAGGCCCCGGAACTGCTTGTAGTTTTGTTAAAAAATTAAAATATCGAATCGTCAAATTTTTTTATTACTATTTCAAGTATTTGCCCTTTCAGAATTTTCAAGGATTTTTCAAATCGGTCTATAAACAAAAGAGATATGATTTTTTGAAAAAGGTGCGAAATCGAGATTTTTTCGCGTTTTTAAACTTTCCCTTTTCTTTGAACCCGTATATCTTTGGAACTCTTTAATCCTATCGACTTTCAAACATTATAGACTTGTTCCTTGATTGATTCTCTATCGATTGAAAAAAAAATTAATTGAAATATGTCCATTTTTACTATAATTACAGTAATAAATATGAATGGGGTCCCCAGGACCCCGGTGTGTATAGTACGACATCGTCAAAAAAACAGCGTGTGTACCTAGGATTAACTGTTGGCGTTCACACAATTTCAGACGTTTATACTCTTTACGAATATACTCATTATT